AGTGGGGCCCAAAGTAGACAATATGTGTACAGTGGCGGACCCCGGGGCGTTACAGGTGGTATTAGAGTCGACTCCTGACCGCGTATGGGGCCATAGCAAGGGCGATGTGCTCGTAAGGGGTGAAAAATGTGATGGCCTAAGAGGCGGTGCGCGGGGAGTAGAGATGGCGGTGCGTCCGCGCCTTGGTCCTCGAACGTGCACAGGGAAGGGGGAGCCTCTCTTGTCCCACATCACCTTGAGGGGAGTCTTGGACTGGCTTATAAGGTTCGGGATTCTCTATCTGTACATACGCGTTTTCTTGGCAAAGCCAATAGGAACAAAACCGTGAGAGCCCAGTGTGGCCCAAAGCGGACAATATGTGTACAATGGCGGACCCTGACGTATTACAAGTGGTATCAGAGCCGTCTCTCGATCGCGTGTGGGGCCACAGTGAGGGCATTGTGCTCGTAAGGGGTGGGGAGTGTGATAGCCCAGGCGGCAGTGTGCGGGGAGGAGGGATGGCGGTGCGTCCATGCCACGGTCCTCGGACGTGCGCAGGGAAGGGGGAGCCTCTCTTGTCCTACATCGCCAAGGGGGAGTCCTGAACAGGCTTATAAGATTTGGGGTTCTCTATCTGTACATACACGTTTTCTAGGCGAAGCCTAGAGGAACAAAACCGTGATGGCCCAGTGGGACCCAAAGATGACAATAAGTGTAGTGTAACGGCCCAAGCGGCAGTGCGCGAGAAGTAGGGATGGCGGTGCGTCCGCACCTCAGTCCTTGAATGTGTGTAGGGAAAGAGGGGAAGGCTCTATTGTCCCACATCACCTAGAGGGAGTCTTGGATTGGCTTATAAGGTTCGAGGTTCTCTATCTAAACGTACAGGCCTGGAGGAATAAAACCGTGAGGGCCTAGTGGAGCCCAATTAAAGTGGACAATATGTGTACAGTGGCAGACCTGGGGCATTACATGTGGTATCAGAGCCTACTCCGGACCGCGTGTGGGGCCACAACGAAGGGGTTGTGCCCGTAAGGGGTGGAGAGTGTGACGGCCCAGGCGACAGTGCTCGGGGAGGAGGGATGGCAATGCGTTCGCGCCTTGGTCCTCGGACGTGCACAGGGAAAGGAGGGAGCCTCTCTTGTCCCACATCGCCTAGGGAGGAGTCCTGGACTGGCTTATAAGGTTCGGGGTTCTCTATCTGTACATAAGTGTTTTTTGGACGAAGCCCAGAGGAACAAAATCGTAAGGGCTCAGCGGGGCCCAAAGTGAACTATATGTGTACAATGGCAGACCCGGAGCATTACAGGTAAAGATTGGGGAAAGAGAGGAGTAGAGAGTGTGACGGCCTAGGCGGCGGTGCGCGGGGAGGAGGGATGGCGATGCGTTTGCGCCTCGGTCCTCGGACGTGCGCAGGAAAGGGAGGAGCCTCTCTTGTCCCACATCACCTAGGGGGTAGTCCTGGACTGGCTTATAAATTTCGGTGTTCTCTATCTGTACATACGCGTTTTCTAGGCAAAAACTTAGAGGAACAAAATCGTGAGGGCTCAATGAGGCCCAGAGCGAACAATATATGTGTACAGTGGTGAACCCGGGGCATTACAGGTGATATTAGAGCCGACTACGCCTCGGTCCTTGGAGGTGCGTAGGGAAGGGGGGAGCCTCTCTTGTCTCACATTGCCTAACGGGGAGTCCTGGACTGGCTTATAAGGTTCGGGGTTCTCTATCTGTACATACGCGTCTTCTGAGCGAAGCTTAGAGGAACGAAATTGTGAGAGCCCAGGCCCAAAGCGGACAATATGTGTACAGTGGTGGACCCGAGGCATTATAGGTGGTATCAGAGCCGATTCTTGACCGCGTGTGGGGCCATAGCGAGGGCGCTGTGCCCGTAAGGGGTGGAAAGTGTGACGGCCCAGGTGGCGGTGTGCGGGGAGGAGGGATGGCGGTGAGTCCGTGCCTCGGTCCTCGAACGTGTGCAGGGAAGGAGGGGAGCCTCTCTTGTCCCACATCTCCTAGGGGGGGAGTCTTGGACTGGCTTATAAGGTTCGGGGTTCTCTATCTGTACATATGCGTTTTTTGGGCAAAGCCAAGAGGAATAAAACCGTGAGGGCCGAGTAGGGCCCAAAGTAGACAATATGTGTACAGTGGCGTACCCTGGGCGTTACAGGTGGTATGAGAGTCGACTCCCGACCGCATGTGGGGCCACAACGAGGGCGCTGTGCCCATAAAGGGTAGAGAGTGTGACGGCCTAGGCGGCGGTGTGCGAGGAGGAGGGATGGCGGTGTGTTCGCGCCTCGGTCCTCAAACGTGTGCAGGGAAGGGGAGGGATCCACTCTTGTCACATTGCCTAGGGGGAGTCTTGAACTGGCTTATAAAGTTTGGAGTTCTCTATCTGTGCAAACGCGTTCGCCTAGAGGAACAAAACCGTGAGTGCCCACTGGACCCAAAGCGGATAATATGTGTACAGTGACGGACTTGGGTCATTACAAGTTTTTATCAATGATTGGGAAGGAGAGGGGAGCCTCTCTTGTCCCACATCGCCTAGGGGGGAGTCCTAGACTGGCTTATAAGGTTCGGGATTCTCTATTTGTACATACATGTTTTCTGAGCAAAGCCTAAAGGAACAAAACCGTGAGGGCCAAATGGGGCGTAAAGTGGATAGTATGTGTACAGTAGCGGACCCGGGGCGTTACACATTTAGCTAAGACCAAGCAATAGATACTCTGCATTGGGAGAGTTCATATCCAGGTTTCATATAAGGATAAAGTAAACCAGTAAATATAACAATTTGCTCATATAAAAGGCTAGAGAGTCAATGTTATTTCTCTACAAATAATCATTGGCAATGAACTTCAATAAAAAGGCTTCCACCAAGTTGCTTGAGCCACTGAATCATAAAAACTTGAATCCTTTGTTGTAGCCCTCGTCCTGCGCTAAACAGTCCTCAATCTGCGAGAAAGCAACAGATTCGTGTACACAATCTTCTTATCCTTTTTACCTTCATGCGCCGAGAAAACTGATCTAAAATTCTAAAAATTGCACATTGCCGGGAACATCCTCGATGGGTTTATACAACCATACTGTACTACTTACATGCCCAAGAAGGTTGTGTTGATGATTAGGATGGCAGAACCCTCTGTTCCTTTTGCTTCTTACTATCTCTAGCAAAATTACACCAAGGCTAAAAACATCGGATTTAACGGAGAATTTTCCGTTAAAAGCATATTCTGGGGACATATAGCCACTGCATTAAGAATATCACGACTCAAATTTGCCCAAAGTTCATAAACAGTTGCTCATTGATCAAGATGAGAAACTTACTAGGTACCAACAATTCTTCTCGTTCTTGCTTCTCTTTCATCGCCTCCAAAGATTCTTGCAAGGCCAAAGTCTGAGATTTTAGGATTGAGGTCCACATCTAACAATATGTTGCTTATTTTGAGATCTCTGTGAATGACTTGTAGTTTTGAATCTCGATGAAGATAGAGAAGTCCTATTGCAATTCCTAAAACTGTCGAAGCGACTTTTCCACGCTAATAAGAAGCTTCTGTCATTATCTGCACACATTCAGTCATGTAAGTCTTAACATTTGAGCTGTGGCACTCCAAAGAAAATACTTCGATTAGCATTTGGATGTATGTCCATGCAGAGGCACAAATGACATACAGAATGATGTCATGGGGGTCGAGGGAAAAGGAAATGAAAGGATCAAGGAGCTCGAACCGAAAATGAAATAATCCAAGCTTTTATTCGGCATATACTCATATATTAACATTCTTTCTTCCCCCTCCATGCAACAGCCTAGAAGTCCAACAAGATTCCTATGCTGAAGTCTGGAAATTAGGAGTACTTCGTTCATGAACTCTTCGAGACCTCGTCTTGAACTTTTGGACAGCCTCTTCACCGCTATTTCTTGACCTATGGAGAGAATCCCCTGCATTTTTTTCAATAACATAAGCTTCTCGTGTTCTGTAACCTCACAAATTCATAGCTCATTACCTTGTAGACTGACCCAAAGCCACCCGTCCTATCATGTTGGTCTGCGAGAAATGTCCACTAGCAATGGCAATGGTAGAAAAATCAAATAATGGTAAATCAATGTCTTCCTTCCGACTTTGCAAGCCTACAAGGATGAACACTATCCATCACATGGAAGTGATACTCAATTGGTCATGGCCCGACAGCAGAACTTCAACACAAATCTTCTCAGTAACAAGGGGACTGGATTAGGAACAAGCTTACCTCTTCTTTTCATTCTGCTCTTCCACATAATACTCAATGCTACACCTGCTATGAACAATCCAGAAATGACTGAAGCAACTATGACAGTCAACAGTATTTTCTTATTGACAGGGCTGCGGATGGAATCTAGAATAGCCAAGAAAAAGCGTGTAAACTAATTTCAGAAAATATTATGCTCATAAGCTGAAGAATATAAGTAAAATATTGCAGCAACTAATTTCAGAAAATAATATGTTCATAAGCTGATGAATGTAACCACAACTAGTGCAGCAAAAGGACTAGCAAACGAGTAGTAAGTAGTTGGGTACAAGATCAAGATTAGTCCAGCATTTACTATGTCCACAATTAAAAAAAAAAAAAAAAAAAAGCAAGATCATCGCAGCGTAGAAAAGCGATTGTTAACTGAATCACTATGTGCATATCTACCTAACTCAGAAGCGGGTAATCTTATATAGAAATTTTGTTTGTAGTTGACTTGATCGGATTCTCTTATATCAATGAGATCGCCGAACCACATCAAACAGTCACTCCCTTCTTCACTAACATCTGAGTTAGCATAAGCCGTACAAGAACTGTTCTTTAGACACTCCACCTTGCACTCCGCAATGCTCATATTCTTTTTTACCAAGAAATCTACCTGGTCAGGTAGCTTCAACGTCGAAAGTTTTAGAAAGCCTTCTCCACGAGAGCAATTCAACTGAGCTTTCCTAATGCACCCACTGGTTGAATTTACTTGCCACTCTTCTTGGGACTTGGGCATGAAACCCTGCAAGCACTGGCATCTAGGTCTTTGTTATTGCTGCAGACACCATTAGCACCACACTGTCCATAGTTATCACATGGATCACGGGGAAACAGGACCATGACATCCCATGTAGAGCTCTCTTTGTTCCTTAGAAAACGTTGCATAAGACCAGACTGATTCAATGCGAATATGGTGATGATATCATCCCTTGAAGATTGAAATTCAAAATATATATCTGTTTCATTGTAGACAAACATCGGCCTGTAAAAGGTAATCTGAATCACTGGAGTTCCCGGGAAACTGACTCCATTCCATGGCCCTGTTCGAAATGTTTTTGTGGAGCCTCTTTTGAGCACTTCAAATTGGGGCAACCCATTAACATTTATTCCGTAGGTACAGTCTCCAGATGAAGGATCATCCGTGCTTTTCCAAGAAGTCAGATGCCATTCGAAACCAGTTTTGAGGTTCCATCCCATTCGCATACCAGCTAAAAGGGTGTCAGTTGGATAGTCAAAGCTCTGCCATGAGCATTCACCAGAGTGTGAGCTGGTATTCTCTGAAACGACGAGGTTACAAGAATCCAACAACTGTGCAACTGGGTTTCTTAAAACCCTGGATGAATTTGAAGACCAGATGATACTCTTTGATTGGTTGAGAACAACCAGATTCCTCTCATCGCTAAACGTGAGAACACCATTTGAATCAGTGAGCGGGTTGTTTCTGTTGGCGACCCAAACGACTTTTTCAGGACTAAAATTGTACCATATCCCCAAGTACCTATACTTGGAGTTTTCTGGAGAGAAGAAGCCAAGCTCAAAGCTTTGGCTCGAAGAGACCAATTTCTCCCCATCTTTAATAAACTGCCCTGGACTTAAGGTATCAGATGCGATCGACAAGTTCAGCACAAACATGACATAAACAGAGTAAAAGAAGATGGACCATGGAAGCTTTTCCAATGCCATTAAGCCTTCTGTTAATTTTTCCCTAGCTCCTCCCTCTCGATGAAAAGTTTTAAACTCAAAGGTTCTCACCAATAATATCAAGCTGAAGCCCACCGGATAGGATATTCTGTAGTTTTATAGCCGAGTCTTATCACTAGCAACTCCCAATGGGATAAGAAATCAAGGGTCATGGAATGTAGACGACCAAATTAAGCTGTCAAGTGTTTTTATCGGGAGACTAATGATGTCTATTCACGCAATGCACGAAAGTCATAACCGTCCGTTCACGACTCAATTACAGTCTAAGGACGGAGACAGGGTGACAACTAACAAATCTTCCCCAAGCAGGACTAATGATGGAGTTGGTCCCTAGGGCCTATTTTTCAATCTAAACGAAGACGTGACAACACGAGTTTGGCAACTAGGAAGCGATTTTGTAACGTGTGTTGTAAAGGTTGGGCCACGCCCACAAGCCCAAGCAACCACTTAAGCCCATAAGACCATTTTTATGTCTTGGATGTATTCGTTTCGCAAAAAAATGATTGATTTATAAAATATTTTTCAATAAATAATCACTTATATCATTTAGAAAAATAAATGAATAGAAAAAATTTTCACCGCCCACGAAAATAATTAGGTATAAATTATTATCGATGATGAAAGTATTTTTCGTTAACTAATTTTTCTAAACGATATAAGTAATTATTTTTTGGAAAATATTTTTCAAATCATTTATTTTCCGTGAAATGCCTTGCTGTTGGTCGAAAAGCATCGATTGATGCCGAATATGCTTATTGCATGTGATTGGTAAGTGTTTCCTTCCTGTTTTTTTCCTCTTGCAAGTTAGTTTTTGTTCTAGGAATAAAATTTGTTGACCTGGCTATGTTGGTTTCGATGATGACGCTCCGGTCGATATTGAGCTGTTCAATGGTGATAATTAGGTTCCTCACATCCCTAGGAACTTGTAGGATTTTATGGATATTTCCTGTTTGAGAGAAATTTATTTTTGGACATCCTTGGAATATGCTGTATAGTAACTCGACCAGCAGCTTTTCCGTGCCGAAATTTGTCGATTGCTAGCTAGATTGGATCGGAAAATCTTAGGACCTTTAGTACTTCGAAGATGCTTTCTTTTGACATTAAGCTCGTTTAAATCATAGTACAGTGGAGAGAATTGTGGCGCGACCAAATTTGATGTATGAGCTGCGCATAGCAGACAACAATCAATGTTCTGCTATGGTTGAGCTTTTCTTTGGCGCACAGAAGTTGTTTTGTTGACGAATAAGTTTAATATAGTCAAGTCGTTGTTAAAGTAGAGCTCTTCTTGATTGTGATATCGTTTTCTCGCTTAATTGATAAGATTTTGAGTTCGTCGGCTCGAGTAGCTTACGTTGTTTGATTTTGCAACCCTAGATGAGTGGTGCGTCATTGAATTTTTAAACTCTTGGCATAAAAGTTATCAGAATTTGATATATTATGAGTTACAAAATAGTGTGTTTGTTACATAAAAACCTAGATCGTACATTTAATACTGTTTGGTTATCTGTGAATGGTTTGATAAGTGTTTTTTTTTTTAAGGTATTATGAAATGTTACTTGTGTTGCCTTGCGAATCTGTTTATGAAATGAATTCTTAAATAATTTGAGAATTCCTTTACGAAAGGTATTCTGACTAATGAAATGAATTATGAAAGAATCTATGTTTTGGTTTGTAAAACTGATTTTATGATATAGATTTTGGATTTAATTTTATGGATTATTGGAAGATAATGTTAGTAGTTTGATGCTCATTGTCGCTATGAATCCACTGAGAGGATTTTGGGGATGCATACTCTTTAGCATTTCCTTGTGAACCGAGTGATCGGCAATATAGGTGGAGACTTAGCCAAAGAAAAAACTTGGTCGCCTTTGTCACAGGGTGTTAAGCATGACTATAGCTGGATATTGGGTATTAGATTGATCAATGGAGTGCACTATTGATGTGTGATTTGATGAGATTGGTCAATGGTCTAGTCCATTGACGTTTGCTTTGATTTTATCAATGGAGTGAGTGTTTATGACACAGACATAGTTATGTTGTAGTGATATGACTCATTTTGTCTTTGTACGCATATTATATACTAGATTTTGGATAAATGAGTTTGGGTACTGTTTTATAAAATATGTATAGTGGTTGGTCTAACTGTGAAAGAAATATATACTGCTTATTGGGCTGGGGTTATTCATACCATTAATCTTACATCCTTTTCAGGTATTGAGTTAGCACCAAGTAGGATGAGAGCTGCCATCAATTGTGGAAACTTTTGGTAGTTGGATTTTTGGGTACGAGTCCGGATAGATATATAAACGTCCGATGTTGTCATTGTTGGGTTAGCTAAATTCAGAGATCTATATATTCTTTTGAGGAATTTAGAACTCGGATCATTGTAATCATTAATTAGATATATAGATGGAGGTATATCTTGAGATAACAAGTTAATGTTGGTGATGTTGAGGCTCCATCCGAGGCACGTCCATGTCATTCCCCTATTTTTGTAGGACTGGGGTGTAACACGTGGGATCCCATCACTTCAGAGCAATCTCAAACTATGAGACAACCAAGGACTTGCGTGTCATTTTGTTGCAGTTTCCGGATGGCCTCTGATCACAAAAGTGTTGTTGGACTCATTCAATTAGGATCAAACAATAGATACTCTGCAAATGGCGAAAAAACTTTATATTGTTCATAAGCGTGGAAATACTTCCACTGGGAGATCACTTATCCATGTATCGTACAAAAATAAAGTGAAGCAGTTAATAACTAAATATAGCTACTTGCTCATATGAAAGTTTACAGAGTCGATATAATTCTCTACGAATAACCATTGGCAATCAATTTCAATAGAAAGGCCTATACCAAGTTAATTGACCCTTCTGAATTATTAAAATGCGAATCCTTTGTTGTGGCCCTCGTCTAGTCAGTCCTCCATCTACAAGGAAGCCGACAGATTCGTGTACACAAATATCACATATTCATGGAAGAGGCAACTGCAATCCATGCCTTCAGAACCTTTTTAGATTGTTTTTAGCAGTGTTTTCTACAATTTGAGAACCTGAAGAAGCAACGTCAAAGTGTAGGTCACTGCACCTTTCACACATTGAAGATTATAGTGATTGCAGACCACCTACTGATCCTTGCAACCTTCATGCACCGAGAAAGCTTTTCTGAAGTCCACACTACAGGGAACTTCCTCGATGGGAAGTTCATCGACCTTCCGGCATGGTGATTGTAACAATATTCCTTGTGTATGATTCTTCCCTTATCGAAGATTCCTCTGTGCTCGATGGACCTCTCTCCTTAAAGAACCCGGGCTGTTTAGGCTGTGGCAGGATTGCTTCCTCATTCGCTAACATGAAAATGACTGAACACATTGTTGGCCTATCTCCAGGACACTTTTGGACGCATACCAAACCAACTTGAATGCATCTCTCTACTTGGGATGCGATGAAGGAGTCGCATAGAGATTCATGCAGAAGCTCCAAGGACCTGCCTGCGCTCCACAGCAACCATGCCTAGGACAAATCCATTCATGTCATTAAACATCACATAAAAGACGAGTTTATACAAACCATACTGAACTACTTACATGCCCAAGAAGGTTGTGTTCATGATCAGGATGGCAGAACCCTCTATTCCTTTTGCCGCTTACTATCTCTAGCAAAATTACACCAAGGCTAAAAACATCGGATTTCACGGAGAATTTTCCATCATAAGCATATTCTGGGGACATATAGCCACTGCATTAAGAATATCATGTCTTAAATCAACCCAATGTTAAAAAAAAAAGATCTATCCAATATTCATGGACAGTTGCTTGTTAATCAAGATGAGAAACTTACTAGGTACCAATGATTCTTTTCGTTCTTGCTTCTCTTTCATGGCCTGCAAAGATTTTTGCGAGGCCGAAGTCTGAGATTTTAGGATTGAGGTCAGCATCTAACAATATATTGCTTGCTTTGAGATCTCTGTGAATGACTTGTAGTTTCGAATCTTGATGAAGATACAGAAGTCCTCTGGCTATTCCTAGAGCTATGTCAAAGCGACTTTTCCATGCTAACAAAAAGCTTCTGTCATCATCTGCACCCATTCAACCCAACGTAAGTCTTAACATTTAAGCTCAATAATCTAAAGAAAATGAGTTCATCGGGTAGCATTTGGATGTATGTCCATGCAGAGGCACAAAGGACATATAGATTAGTAGCATGGGGGTTGAGTGAAAAGTAAATGAAAAGGATCAAGGAGCTCAAACCGAAGATGAAATAATCCAAGCTTTTATTTGGCATATACTCATATATTAACATTCTTTCTTCTCCCTCGATGCAATAGCCAAGAAGTCCGACAAGATTCCTATGCTGAAGTTTGGCAATTAGGAGAACCTCATTCATGAACTCTTCGAGACCTTGTCTTGAACTTCTGGACAGCCTCTTCACTGCTATTTCTTGACCCGTGGAGAGATTTCCCTGCATATTTTTTTTTTCAATTAAGCTTATCGTGTTCTCTAAACTCGCAAATTCGTAGCTCATTACCTTGTACACTGAACCAAAGCCACCAGCTCCAATCATGTTGGTCTGTGAGAAATGTCCAGTAGCATCGGCAATTGTAGAAAAATCAAATAATGGTAAATCAATGTCTTCCTTCTGACTTTGCAACCCTACAAGGATGAACATTATCTATCAAATGAAATTAATAATTAATTCTTCGTGGTCCGACAACAGAATTTCAACCCAAATCTTCACAGTAAAAAGTGGACGGGATTACCAACAAGCTTACCTCTTCTTCTGATTCTGCTTTTCCTCATAACACTCAATGCTATACCTGCTATTAACAATCCACAAATGACTGAAGCGACTGTGACAGTCAACAGTATTTTCTTATTGACAGGGCTGTGGATGGAATCTAGAATAGCCAAAAAAAACTGTGTTATCTAATAACAGAAAGTAATATGTTCATAAGCTGATGAATGTAACCAAAAATAGTGCAGCAAAAGGACAAACAAACGAGTAATAAACAGTTGGGTACGAGATCATGATTAATCAACCATTTACTATGAACACAAAGAAAAAGAAAAAAAGCAAGATCATCACAGCGTAGGAAAGCAATTGCTAACTGAATCATTATGTACATATATACCTAACTCAGAAGCAGGTAATCTTATGTAGATATGATGTTCATTGTTGACTTGTTCGGATTCTCTTATATCAAAGAGATTGCCGAACCACATCAAACAGCCACTCCCTCCTCCTCTAACATCTGAATTAGCATAAGCATTACAAGAACAGTTCTTTAGACACTCCATCTTGCACTCCTCAAGGCTCATATTCTTGTTTACCCAGAAGTCTATCAGGTCAGGCAGATTCAGCATCGATAGTTTCAAAAAGCCCTCTTCCTGAGAGCAAATTAATTGAGCTTTCCTAATGCATCCACTGGTTGAATTAAGTACATGCCACTCTTCTTGGGACTTGGGCATGAAACCCTGCAAACATTGGCATTTAGGGTCTTTGTTACTTCTGCAGATACCATTAGCTCCACACTGTCCATAGTTATCGCATGGATCACGGGGAAATGAGATCATGACATCCCATGTAGAGCTCTCTTTCTTCCTTAAAAGACATTGCACAAGACCAGACTGATTCAATGTGATTATGGTGGTGATATCATCCCTTGAAGATTCAAACTTCAAATATACATCTGTTTCATCGTAAACAAACATTTGCCTGAAAATTGTCCTCTCAGTCACTGGAGATCCCGTGAAATAGAATCCATTCCATGGCCCTGTTCGAAATGTTTTTGTGGAGCCTCTTTTGAGCACTTCAAACTGGGGCAACTCATTAACTTTTATTCCGTAGGTATAGTCTCCAGAGGAAGGATCAATCGTGCTTTTCCAAGAAGTCAGATGCCATTCAAAACCGGTTTTGAGGCTCCATCCTATTCGCATACCAGCTAAAAGGGTGTCAGTTGGATAGTCAAAGCTCTGCCATGAGTATTCACCAGAACGTGAACTGGTATTCTCTGAAACGACAAGGTTACCCGAATCCAACAGCTGTGCAACTGGGTTTCTTAAAACCCTGGAGGAATTCGAAGACCAGATGACACTCCTCGATGGGTTGACAACAACTAGATTCCTCTCTTCGCTAAATGTAAGAACACCATCTGTATCAGTGAGTGGGTTGTTTCCGTTGGCGACCCAAACGACTTTTTCAGGGCTAAATTTATACCATATCCCCAAGTACCTATACTTGGAGTTTTCTGGAGAGAAGAAGCCAAGCTCAAAGCTTTGGCCTGAAGAGACCAATTTCTCTCCATCCTTAATGGACTGACTTGAACTTATGGTATCAGACGCGATTGAGAAGTTCAGCACAAACATGACAAAAACAGAGAAAAGGAAGGGGGAATAAATAAGCTTTTCCAATGCCATGAAGCCCTCTGTTAATTTTTTCCCTGGTTCTTCCCTCTCAATGACAAGTTTTAAACTCAAAGGTTCTCACCCAGAATATTCAGCTGAAGCCGACCTGACAGGATATTCTGTAGCCTATATCATTAGCAATTCCCAATAGGATATGAAATCAAGGTTCATGGAATGTAGACGACCAAGTTAAGCTGTCTAAGTGTTTTCAGTGGGAGACTTATGATGTCAATCGTGCAATGCGAGCTAGTCATGCCCACTCCTCACGCTAACCAGCTAACCAATCAACCTGGTGGGTTGGGTCAATCGAAAATAGTATGATCCAAATTGATTTGTTTTTATGTAATATGCTAGCAACCCATAATCATTTTGATCTGAACCAATTCATACTCTACCAACCCGAGCTCCAATTCTTAGCAATTTTTTCCTTAAATTGTTGGAAAAATTTCAAATCAGTACCCAAAGCGGGGTCATTTTCTCAAAAAAAGTTCCAAAGTGAACACAGTATCAAATAAGGGCCTGAAATGCCTAATCAGTCTCAAATAGGGGCTCGAAGGGCCTAATTAGTCTTAAGTAAGGGCCTAGGTTCGTCAGTCAGTCAAATGTTCACCTGCCGACAAGCACGTCATTATTTTGGTGATCGAAGCAAGGATAATTTCGTCTTTTACTTTTTAAATTTTTTTTGTTTCTTTTTTCCTTTTTTTGTTTTTTTTCTTTTCCTTTTCCTTTTCTTCTTCTTTTTTTTTCCTCTTTTCCCTCCGCCGACCATAGCCGGGGCCGGCGGAGGTTGCCAGCCTTGGGCGGAGGCTGCCCTCATCGGCGTCGGGCGAGGGTCGACCCTCGCCAGATCCGGCGAGGGCGAGGGTTGCTCTCGTCGAATATGGCGAGGCTCACCCTCACTCGCCCAGCCCAGGTGAGGCGACCCTCGCCCGACGCCGGCGAGGGCGACCCTCGCCCGACCCTATGTTGCCCTCGCCGGTGTCGGGCAAGGGCGGCCCTTGCCCGACGCCGGTGAGGGCAGCCTCCTCCCGAGGCCGGCAACCTCCATCGGCCCCGGCTATGGCCGGCGGAGGGAAAAGAGGAAAAAAAAAAGGAAGAAGAAAAGGAAAAGGAAAAGAAAAAAAATAGAAAAAGGAAAAAAAAACAAAAAAAATTTAAAAAGTAAAATACGAAATTGCTCTTATTCCAATCGTCGGAACAGTGACGTACTTGCCAGCCGGTGAACATTTGACTGGCCGGCGAATTCAGGCCCTTACTTGAAACTCATTGGGCACTTCGGATCCTTATTTGAGACTAATTGGGCACTTCAGCCCTTATTTGACACTATATCTACTTTTAATCCTTTTTTGAGAAAATGACCTTACTTTGGGTACTGATTTGAAATTTTCTCTAAATTGTTGCCTCTGAAAAGTGAGCGACTTTATGGACCAGTTAGCCGAGTTGGTGAGAGAGCTTGGTCGCTTGGCTCGGGTCTTGGTCCAGGACTTCTCATTGTACATGAGCATCGTGAAGACACGCGCGAGCGTTACACTACGGACAAGAACACCTTCTTGGACTACTTCTATAATATTTGGGTTTGTTGACTTGGTCAAATGAAGTGGCTAATAAAAAAAGAAAAAGAAGACTGCTTTATTCAACGCAAAGAGATTTGGACCGAGAGAAAAAAGGGAAAGAAGAAAAAGAGAGTGATCGCAACAGAGAGGAAAGGGGAAGAAGAGGAAAGGGAAAGGAAATAGAGGGAAACTCGTGCGTACACGCTACGGAAATCTCGTCAAGCCAAATTTATCTTGATTTGCAACGTCCGATAAGGAGTTAAGCCATTTGTTTGCCTAATCGGAGTAGTTTTCGGAATTATGACACAAAATCAAAATTAAGTGAAATTTGAGTTGCAAAGTCTAATTTTGGAGTAGTCAAGTTGTGGAATGACATAGAAATCATGGATAATGGCATTGTAGAGTGGTGGGTTTTGACGGGAGTTGATTTGAAGTAACAGTTTAGTTAGAACAAATTTTTAGAATTTTGCATGCGACCTCTGCTTTGAGAATAGCTTTGACTAATCGCTTTACGCGAGCGTTTGTTGACGCATGGGAATTAGTTTGTTAGTATTTAAGCTTAGTTTAGTCAATTAATTGATAGGATTACAAGATCGTCGACACATATAGCTACGTAATTTAATTTAGGGCATTTCCAAGTGAAGAAAGCTATATCTTCATTGAGTTTGTATACTCATATTTCGAAAGAGATATAGATTAGATATATTATGAGCTATTAAAAGCATGTCCATTGCATAAAATCTGGATCGAGCATTTACTATTTTCGATTATTTGTGAATGCTTTGAAAAATGTTTTATGAAAGCCGTTTTGAAAGATTACTGGTTTATGAAATGAATTCCGAAATGGTGTGAGAAATGTCTTTTGAAATATATTATATTTAATGAACTGAGTTGTAAAAGATTATATATTTTGGTTTGTGATATTGATAATGAATTGGTTTTGTGGATTTTGGAGGATTCTGTTGTGGGTTTGTGTGGATGCTCAGTATTTCTGCGAGCCCATTAAACGCCATATTAGTTTTAGGATATCCTTGTGGGTCAGTCACTGGCAATATAGGTGGAGACTTAGTTAAGGGGAAATCTTGATCGCCTTTGTCATGAGGACATTATGTGTGATCGTGTTTAGATATCTAAGCACAATATTGGTCAGTAGAATGGACCATTGACATGTGATTTGAGTTTGGTCAATGTAATGGTAGAGATTGATCCATGGATGTTTGAATTGTGATGGTGGATTAAATGAGTGTTTCTGATTTGTATAATGCTTTGTTGAAAGGATAAAACTCATTTTTTATCTTGTACGTATATTAAATTCTAGATTTGGGTTAAATGAGTTGTGATTTGGTTTTGTTAAATGTGCATAGTGGATGCTCAATCTATTTAGAAGAGATGTACTACTCATTAAGTTGTAGTTACTCATTCCATTCGTCTTTCATGTTTTTCAGGTTCCTCGACTAGCAGCCGATAGTACGAAAGCTCTATCGACAAGAACTTTCGGGAGTTGGATTTTGGGTATAGTCTGAGGGAGTTGTATATATGTCTGTTGATAGTTATTGGGTTTAACTGAATTTTGAGATGTAATTATTCTTTTTAATGGATTATAAAAACTTTGATCTTGTAACCAACCTACTAGTTTATTTTATATATATATATATATATATATATATATATATATATATTCATAATAGGTTGTTGGTTGTGATTGAGGTTGCGCTCTTTGAGTTGAAGGATGGTCGTTGTTATCTCCATTCTTGTTGGTTTCGGGGCGTGACAGTTTCGGTGATTGGGTTATATATATTTAAAAATTAGGCTTTTGTTTTCTAACATCCATATGTTTTGGACTTTTGAGCACCCACTTAATCATTAAAGAGAATGCTAGTCGTTCCATACACGTCGGATAATTAACGAAAACACATACGTTTGTACTTTTGGGGATCACCGTACCGCCTCCACTCCGGAGATTTTCGAAAGTAAGATAAGAATGGAAATGAAAATGCAATTAGGTAGAGGCGACCGGATCCTTACATAACACGGCTCAACCCAAATAGCTCGTATTTCGAAGGCATTATTCAAACCCGTTTTCCTTTTTCTAATTTTGCCATTTCGATGTCAATTTCCTCTTTTTGGTCTTTTGCCAATCTAACACGCCTTTTCTGTGTCCTGGACAATATTAAAAGCACAAGAAACCGAGTAGCGCAAATACAAGTCAACAGCGCAGCTTCACAAGACCTGCAGTTATCGCAAGAAAGTCCGCTTCTCCACCCACCAATGTTTCAATCAGACGGTATCATACATATTCCTTACAGGTCAAAAAGAAAATTGTAGTTTTTTTGCTGTCCACTGTGAAGCTACATCCTAGAAATGTAGGAAGAAGTTCGGATCAAACTTTCTTTTTTGATTATCAAGTCTTAACAATAGAAAAAACATATCTGGTCATAGTTATTTTCACTGTATATCCTTATTCAAGAACTGATTCCCCTTAGGCTGTCCTTCGTTGTTTTGTGAAATGCATTTTGTTTCTTTTTTTTTTGGCTAAATAATGCATTTTGTTTCTCTTCATACTTACGTGAGGTTCTTTTCTGGAGCACTTCAAGTTGGGGCCACCCATCAATATTTATACCACAGGCAGTCTCCAGAGGAAGGATCTACTCATGCTTCCCCAAGAAGGCAGATATCGTTCAAAAACCTGTTCGCGATCTCCATCCTACTTTCATACTAGCTAAAAGGGTCAGAAAATGCAGAAGATCAAAGAAGATATTACTCCCGACGTGCATATGAAACTTCTAAAGAATATAAATCATATGTTCAAACTGTCGCTTGCAGAAGGCAAAAGAAAAAACTCTACCGATCTGATCGCTACTCTGTGGTCAATGGTTTTCTGGACCTGCATACATTGGACTTGATACCAAGCGCAGAAACCAAGAAGTCTTGGATAACGAATGAAATAAATGATCAACCGCATTTGTCAGATCTATTCGCAATTCCTCACAAAAATGCACTATCGACCATCCAACGTCGTCACTGTGACTGCATTAACAGTGTGGAGTTCTTCATGCCTCAGGGTTGCGCTTAAGTCCATTGAACTTCTTTCCATGAAGAAACCGGGCTGTTTAGGTCGAGGCAAGCTTGCACTTTCATTTCCTAACATGGCGACTACAGAGGACATCGCTGGTCTATCGTTGGGGAACTTCTGCACGCATAACAAGCCGACATGGATACATCTTTCTACTTGAGGTTCCACCAAATCATAGAGGCACCCATCAACGAGTTCCATGGCTCCGTCTTCACTCCAAAGCAACCATGCCTGAAAAAAATCGCATCACAGGCTTAGTAATGCAAGACGAAAAGAGGGAGATAAGGGAGAGAGAACAACATATGCTTTGGATCTTTTCTCGTACATGTCCGAGAAGGTTATGGTGATGATTTGGGTGGCAGAATCCTCTGTTTCTTTTGCCGCTTACAATCTCTAACAAAAGCACACCAAAGCTAAAGACATCGGATTTCACAGAGAATATCCCGTCAAAGGCATACTCAGGGGACATATAGCCACTGTAATGACAAAATGATTGGTATTAGTCTTCTAAAATAACATGCGGTCCTATTTAGAGATTTTCTGGAACAACGAATTCTTACTAAAAGTTCCAATGATTCTCTTTGTTTTTCCTTCTTTCTCATCACATGCAAAAATTCTTGCCAACCCAAAGTCCGAGATTCTAGGGCTTAGGCTGCCATCCAATAAAATGTTGCTAGCTTTGAGATCCCGGTGAATTACTCGAAGTTTAGAATCATGGTGTAGATATCTTGTCCTGTGAAAAGATTTCCCTGCATATTGTGGTTTTGGGTAGACATGTTAAACAATGAAATATCATCACTCTGTTTGCAGTAACCGTGTCATGGAATATGCATGGCTCATCACCTTGTAAACTGGGCCAAAGCCACCACCTCCTATCGGACTATCCTCAGAAAAACCATTTGTAGCATTAACAATGGTAGCTAGATCAAAAAGTGGCAAATCAACATCTTCCTCCTTGATTTTCCAACCTGAAAAAGACCAGTTACTACAAAAATCTTTTTTGAAACATATGTTAACCTCACAAAAGGGCCAAAGGAGGTGTACATTCATAGAACCAGTAGGACTGACCATTTCTCTTTATTTGGCAATTCCAGATACGACGGAAGTACACCATGGCCGATAGAAACAAAGCAGCATTAGCTGACATCAATACAGCGATGACCATCCTTTTCTTCTTGTCAGAATTGTGAAGGAAATCGAGGATCAAGAAGACTGTTAAATGCAATTTTCTAGGGTGCTGTTCCTGAATAAGCAGGTTAGAAGATAGAATGTCCAGAAGCAATAATTGGCAAAATAAGTACCTAGTTCAGATTTTGGTAGGCGTATGTATAGAGTTTGCCCATAGTCATCTTCTTCGTACTCCTTAATGTCAATTAGGCTTCCAAACCACAGGAGGCAGCCGCTACCTCCTCCTCTAACATCTGAATTAGCATAAGCTGTACATGAACAGTTCTTTAAGCACTCAGCCTCGCATTCCTTGAGGCTCATGTTCTTGTTCAACCAGAACTCTAACAGGTCAGGAAGTTTCACTTTTGAAAGTTTGAGGAACGCTTCTTCCTTCGAACAATTTATTGGCACTCTTCTCATGCATCCACTGGACCAATTAAGGAGATCCCATTCTTCTGGAAACTTCGGTATAAACCCCTTTAAGCAATTGCATATGGGAGCTCTGTTAATTCTACAGATACCACTGGCTCCACAAGTACCGTAAGCATCGCATGGATCATTGGGCACTGAGTACATGATATTCCAGGCATAGCTTCTTTTACTTGCAACATAAAACTGGAGCGACCCTGAATGGTTCATTGTAAGAACTCTAGGGATAAATTCGCTTTGTCTGGCTTCATACACAAAAACAAAATAGATCTCATTTTGACCATAGAAGAACACTGGCTTGGTCACTGGATTTGAACTCATTGTTGCACCACTGAATTGTATTCCGTTCCACGGTCCTGTCCGATATTTCTTGCTGGATCCTAAGCTGACGAGTTCACCTTGAGGCAACCCGTGAATGTTCAGCCTGTAAGTATAATCTCCAGGGGAAGGATCGTCCATGCTTTTCCAAGAAGTCAGATGCCTTTCTAAACCAATTTTTAAGTCCCATCCTAATTTCATACCGGGTAGTAGTGTGTCTGACGGATGATCAAAACTCTGCCACGAATAGTCATCAGAATTCAGACTGGTATTCTCTCTGAGAACAAGATTTCCAGTGTCTAAGAGCTGTGCAACCGGATTTTTCAGAACCCGGGACAAATTCAAAGACCAGACGACAATTTTCGATTGGTTGACAAGAACTAGATCTCCAGCATGGTTAAACGTGAGAAATCCATGCGAGTCAGTGAGTGGATTGTCCCTGTTGGCAACCCAAACAACTGTTTCCGGAGTGATCTTGTACCATATCCCCAGGTACCAGTTTGTGGAGTTGCCAGGAGAGAAGAAGCCGAGCTCAAAGCTTTGGCCTGAAGAGACCAACGTCTCTCCATCTTTCATAGACTGGCCTGAACTTAATGTGTCAACTGCAGTTGATAAGCCGAAGACTGACAGGGGAGACAATGAAAAGGCAGATGAAAAATTTAGGTGCTTCCATGCCTAAACTAAATCATGCAGAACCGCAAAATTGCGTGATATTTAGAAGAAGAAAATGCATGTGGTTGTGCCAAGCAAGCTAAGTTCTGGGAGATGGACTGGAATTGATTGTGACACTACTGGCAACCTTCCAAGTTGCTGTCAGGATAGAATTTTTCAGTTGACTCGACTGGTCAACTCACATTTCCTGCAAGTATCGAATGGTAGAGATCCTTTCTAGGTCACGTGGACCACATTTCTTGCCTTTAGGACCCGTCAGTCGAAAGCTGCTTCTTCTTTATTTGGCCTTCCGCTTGATGATTAGCTCATACCTGAATACGCATTCACGTCTGAGCTATACTATACTATACATCGCGATTTACTATAATTTGAGTACATTCAACGTGCGTTTATCAATGTCTTCGTGGCATTATGAGGGCATCACAGACGACATTTGGCTGACTGGCGATGTGAAACTGTAAGTACTTGAGCATTGAAAACGTATACAAGCAAGTCGGATGACAGATTGTTTTTCGATGTTTGAATAGAAACGGACTTTTAATGACGGACTTCCCATTATTCCATCAAGCTACCAGATAGACCTCAAAGAGATCACCAATTTGTCCGAGCTGAGTGCGATGGAACAATTTGTCCTGCCTCTTATAGAGTCGAGCACGTCAAGATCCGTAGAAACGTGAGGAACTTCGAAAGTTTACCATGGGGCCCTTCTGCTGGGCATCATAGCGGTGACTTACCTTTGACCCTTTTGTTGATTTTTTTTTTTTTTTAGCTTGTCCATCAGCTATTTACAGTTGACAAATTTAGACTTGGAACCCCCCAAAAAATATCAATTACGAAGCACTTGGTTGACTACCGTGGGCTACTAATCGTGGACGATTACCGCTATGATGAATTTCTTTTCATTTTATTTAGTTTCTCTAATTGTTGTGGCTTCGAGAAATTTATTTGTTGGTCTGCCCTCCAAACTTTCTGCTTGTCGAGCTGAAATGATACGAGCGCAACTTTGAAGGACGATATAGATTCTTGGAGCAACCTCAATTGTTAGTCGTTCGTAATTTTTCCCAACGAAATTAAAGAATGGAAAGTACCAAAATTCATCCTTACTTTCCACCCCATTACCACTTACCCCTCTATGTTTAAGAATACCACTTACCATCCTCTAAATAAAATCTCCTCGCTAAAAAGACCAAATTGCCCCTCTTTGGAATTTCCGATCCTCCAAGGCTACGCACGACAACGATTCTGTGCCTGGGAACAGATTCTGCTCAGAAATGATTCTTTTTTATTCTGTACCCGGAATTGATTCTGAGCATTTTAAGGCGTTTGTTAACGGCCCAAAATTCCATCCCTGGAATAGAAAAAGAACAGAAATGCATTTGGTAACGCCACAAAATTTCTTTTTATTAATAATATTTTTAAATATTTTAATATTTCTTTCTTTTTTTTTCTTTTCTTTTTTTCTTTTCCTCCTTCTTGGCCATAGCCTGCTCGCCGACCATGACCGATAAAATATTTTTTTATTAATAATATTTTTATTAAAAGTATTTTTTTTGCCATGGCCTAGTCGCCGGCCATGACCGGTAAAATATTTTTTTTTATTAATAATATTTTTTATTAAAATATTTTTATTAAAAATATATATTTTTATTTTTTTTGGCCATGGCCGGTAAAATATTTTTTTATTAATAATATTTTTTATTAAAAATATAAATTTTTATTTTTTTGGTCCATGGCCTGATCGCCGACCATGGCTAGTAAAATATTTTTTTTATTAAAATATTCTTATTAAAAATATATATTTTTATTTTTTTTGGCCATGGCCTGATTGCCGGTCATGGCTGGTAAAATATTTTTATTAAAAATATATTTTTTTCTTTTTTTTGGCCATGGCTTGATCGCCGGCCATGGCCTGTAAAATATTTTTTTTATTAAAATATTTTTATTAAAAATATACATTTTTATTTTTTTTTGCCATGGCCTGTCATGCATAATATTAAAATATTTTTTTATTAATAATATTTTTATTGAAATATTTTTATTAAAAATATATATTTTTTCCTTTTTTGCCATGGCCTGATCACCGGCCATGACTGTTGACACCTAAATTTTGCCAAAATCATTTAGGGTTTTACCGCATAGAAAATTAGGGTTTAATCTTTAATCCCTAAACAAGAATATTTTCATTAAGTTACACGGCATATAGATGTTAGGCGCATTTGCATCAGTAGAATTTAGTAAAACATATTTTGCTTTTATTTTATTTCATTTTTTATTTTATGAAAAAAAATCATCATTATAAAAATTATAAAAAAAGAAAAAAGAAGAAAAGAGAGAAAGACAAAAACGTGATCTCTTCCCTCTCCCTCCGGACACTTTACCCACGCTTTCACAAAAGAAGCAAAAAGGAAGAAAGGATACAGAAGGGGCTCGGCGTGTTTTCATGAAGAAAAAAAAAGTAAAGCTGATCAGATGAGACAAAATAGGCAGAAGCTCTTCTTCTTTCTCTCGGTCAACACACGTCCAGGAGGGATTAAAAAAAGAGAGAGAGAAAGACAAAAGAAACCCAAAAATGGACTGTCACACTCTCTCTCTTTTTGGGTTGCCGCAGTACATGTCACAAAAACAGCAAATGGGGTCTGCATACACAGAAAAAAGACCGAGAGGGAGAGGGGGTGAAAAACACCAAGGCACAGAGGAGAGAACGGGGAGCTTGAGAGAAAAAAGGGGGGAACGCAGAAGAGAACCGGGAGGGCAAGAGAGAGCTCCACAGAGAAGAGATCTTGAGGGGGAGAAAGGAAGAGAGAGCCTCACCCGCTCGCCGGAGGGCCGTCCGAGTCGCCGTCGGTGCCGACGAGCTTCCAGTCGCCGCGCTTCATCTCGGTCGGTCACGAACCAGGTGGGTATCCATAGCTTTCCCCTGTTTTGGCTGCTCCTCTCCCCTGCCTCTCGGGTGTCGGGCACACCGAGTCCCGTTCGGTGATTGCTCGGCCCCGTCGACAGAGGCTAACATTCGTTCGACACTCCATGAACCTTTTCTGAGCATTGTATGTTGAAAAAAAGCCCAGAGCTCTCTCAAAATCGAACCTGTAGTTCCGTTTCTCAGTCGTCTCCCACATGTTCGATAAAATACCTCACTGAAACCTTATGAGCTTACAATGTAAAATCTGGTCGTGCTGATTTTTAGAGTTTCTTTGTAAACTGTAATGGATTTGTGGTGTAGTGAGGTTGTTTATAGTTTTACTCATCACATTTGAGCCAAAAATCACATTCAAGACCAATCTTAAGTCTCTTCTCGACCCCGCCTACCACCTGTTTGACAAAATGCTCGAGAGAGCTCCAAATTTGTGTTTTTTGCAAAACCGGCACCCCAAAGCTTTGTTATATGCTGGATTGGTTTTAATATGGTTACTGATATCAAGCTTTTTTTGCGATTTTCATGTGTTTTATGGCACTCGCGTGAGTCGGCCGTGGTTGGAAGTGTTGCCGGGGGGGCTACCCCCTTTTTGCCGGAGCGATGCCCACGGTTGAGGCCACGACCTTTAACCCTCTATCCCCATTTCGTGTGCGTTTATGCTTGTTTGTTCAACCGTAAGGTCTGTTGTTGGGGTCGGGAGTTTGAGGGCCGGAAAATGGAGTTTTTGTTCGTCGGTGTCGTTTCCGTGGATGGAGTCGGTCGCCGGGCTGTTGGTCGACGGCAGCGGCGTAAGACCACCGTCCGCCGGCGGCGCTGGCAGCCCAAGCCGACGGTCGGCGGTGGGGCGCTCCTGGTGAAGTCACGGTGATGGCATGAAGAGTTCCTCGGTGAAGGGCCATGGAAGAAGATCACGTGCATGGGCAAAAGGCACGTAGGGAAGGAGTTCTGGGAAAGACACGAAGAAGGAGATGAAGACCAGAAAAGACAAAATGGAAAAGAGAAAAAGAAACCCAAAAAAGAAAAGAGGGGAAGAAAAGTCAAAGAGAAGTGTTCAGAAGGGGAAGAAGGAAAGACCACGTGAAAAAAAAAATAGAAAAGAAATGAAAATGGGGTTCCGAGCGAGTAAGAGAGAACCGGATCGGGCGGACGGATCGAAATCGGGTAGGGTTTTGTGCTTGGGCTGACTTTAGGTTTATTGCGTTTTGATGGCTCTGGGCTCTTCTTGGTTCATTTCGTGAATGGGCTGATTTGGTCAATTTGGGCTGAAGTGTTATTTAGGTTTTTATTTATAGTGGGTTGGGCCTGGGTGCTTTTAATTAATTGTTTTTGGGTTGTAGTTTCTTTTTTTTTTTTTTTTTTTCCGAAGCGGGCCTTCGCCGCGCCCGCCTCGCGGCGGACCCGGGCCGGTGCGCCCGTGTCAGTCCTGATCCGGGTCGGATGTGGAGATCCGATCCGGATCCGATTTTATAATATTTTAATATTATATTATTATTTTAATATTTAAAAAGGTATTTTAAAAAAAAAAATTTAAAAAATTTCGAAAAAATCAAAAGTATTATTTGGACTTTGGAATTGGTTTTTCTTGCCCTATTATGTGATTAGAGTCATGTTTCATTGCACGTTGTTTGGTTTGTGCACTTTAAATTGCGTGTTTAATTTAACTTCGAACGTGATTGACCATGCATGTTAGGTTCAGGTATTGACGGTTACTTCCCTTAGCTTGGTTAGGAATCGAATTTTGAGACTCCTAATTAGTTTAAACATGTTAGGCGGTAATTGAATAAGGTTAGGTACCGAAAGGGTACTAATTGGTCAATTAGTGTAATCAAGTCCCCGTACCCATTGAATCTCTGGTTCGTAGAAGCAAAGCATTTCTCCCGTGTTTTACTTGGGTGTCTAGTCGACCCACCAAAAACTGATTAGTGGCGACTCCTAGATGAAATTGATTTGCATGTTAACAACTTAAACTCAAGTCGCGAATTGGTATGGGCTTGGGAGAGCTCGAGCTAGGTTTAACCTAGTAATCCATTAGCCAAACCACCTTAGGTGGCGGGGGGCCGGTTCGGGGAGGTCGCGACAATGACAGGTAAAATACTTTTTTTATTAATAATATTTTTTATTAAAAATATATTTTTTTCTTTTTTATGGCCATGGCCTGGTAGCCGGCCATGACCGGTAAAATATTTTTTATTAAAATATTTTATTCTCGTCAGATCCGGCGAGGGCGGTCCTCGGGCCGGACATTAGAAGCTAAATTAAAAACCAAGAAAAGGAAGAAGAAAAAAAAATTGATTCTCAAAATTGTTCCCAGAATCAAGAAGCTACTTTTTTTTTATTCTTGATTCTGCTCCAAAACTGATTCTGAGAACAATTTTTGACAAAATTGTGCTCAGAATCAAAAAATTAAACAAACGCATTTCTGTTTCCAAACTGATTCTGGGAACAAAAGAACAGAATCAAACACTGTTTGGCAAGTTGTCATGCGCAGCCCAAGTCTCTCACAAAATCTTAAGCCTCCGTCACCGACAAACCCTAACCTCTTTCATCACCCATCACATCGTCTGCCGCCACCACTGCCATGGCGACGGTGGGCAATGGCGACCAGCAGTGACTACTAAGCTTAAGGTTCAGTAGTTATGTTTTGAGTTTGGTTTTGGGGGTTTGGGTGTGCTAAGAAATTTCGGACCCGGGTGGTGGCAGTTTTGGAAATGAGATTGCACTATTGTAAATAAGGCAACACATGAAGATGTAAAATGGTCTCCAATGACAAAACTCAGAGATATTAATTGGTGTTTTTAAAAGTACATGAAGGTAAGTGGTAATAGGATCAAATGTGGGGATGGTTTTTTTGTTGTTACCTAAAAGGGCTGTTATATCATTTGACAATGCATATCGTTATAAAGACTATCCATGTCATTACGAATGAGAAAGTCCTTCAATACTCTCGAGTCTTGAAGCCTGTTGGCCCTCTTCTCGTGCTAAATAGTCCTCCATATGCGAGCAGGCGATAGATTCATATCCACACACATCACAGTGCTTCCACTAACTTTTCAGATTGTTTTTCAGCAAATGCTATCTAAAACTCGAGAACCTGATGAAGCAACATTAAAGTCTATGTCACTATACCTCTCACACATTGAAGTGCTTAGTCATGGTGATTGGAGACCATCTTCCTTTTTATGCACCGAGAAAGCTGGTTTAAATTCCACGCTGCGGGGAAGTTCCTCGAAGGAAAGTTTATCGACCATCCGGCATTGTTATAGTAACGATATTCCTTGTGTACGATTCTTCTTTTATCAAAGATGCCTCTGTGCTCGACGGACTTCTCTCCATAAAGAAGCCGGGCTGTTTAGGCTGTGGCAAGATTGCCCCTTCATTCGCTAACATGAACAGGACTGAAGACATTGATGGTCTATCTCCGGGAAACTTTTGGACGCATAACAAACCAACATGAATGCATCTCTCTACTTGGGATGCAATGAAGGACTCGCATAGAGATTCATGTAAAAGTTCCAAGGCCCTGCCTTCACTCCGAAGCAACCATGCCTTGAACAAATTCATTCATGTCATTAGACAGTATCATTATAAAGCTTGTTAGAAAACATGTCTGCCAGTACATAATAGACGTGAATTTATGTAACCATACACTACTTCCGTGCCCAAGAAGGTTCTGGTGATGATCTTGATGCCAGAATCCTCTATTCCTTCTGCTACTTACTATCTCTAACAAAAGTACACCAAAGCTAAAAACATCGGATTTCACTGAGAATTTTCCGTCAAAAGCATACTCTGGAGACATATAGCCGCTGCAATTAGAAAATAAGGACTCAAATTTTCCAAGGTTTATGGTAAAAAGACCATCTATCCAAGGTTGATGGAGGAGTGCTCATCAGTTGAGATGAGAAACTTACTAGGTACCGATAATTCTCCTAGTTCTTGCCTCCCTTTCATCACCCCCAAAGATTCTTGCGAGACCGAAGTCTGAAATTTTAGGATTCAGGTCAACTTCTAACAATATATTGCTTGCTTTGAGGTCTCTGTGAATGACTCGTAGTTTTGAATCTTGGTGAAGATAGAGAAGTCCTCTCGCAATTCCTATGACTATGTCAAAGCGACTTTTCCATGCTAAGGTGGAGCTTTTGTCATCATCTGCACAAACTCAAAACATATGAGTTTTATGATTGACCCTCTGAAGAAAATGAGTACATCGATTAGCATTTGGATGCCTGTCCTTTCGGACAAAATTGACAGACTGATAGTATTGGGATGGGATCAAGTGAAAAGAAAATGAATAAGGATCAAGGAATTCGAACCAAAAATGAAATTATCCAAGCTTTTATTTGGCATATACTCATATACTAGCATTCTCTCTTCTCCCTCTATGCAATAGCCAAGAAGTCCGACAAGGTTCCTGTGCTGAAGTCTGGCGATTAGGAGTGCTTCATTCATGAACTCTTCGAGACCTTGTCCTGAACTTTTGGACAGCCTTTTCACTGCTATTTCTTGGCCCGTGGAGAGAATGCCCTGCATTTTTCCTTTAGTTTCATAAGCTTATCCTGTGCTATAAGCTTGCAACTCCATAGACCATTTACCTTATAGACTGTACCAAAGCCACCCACTCCAATCGTGTTGGCCTGAGAGAAATGTCCAGTCGCAACGCTAATGGCAGGAAAATCAAATGATGGTAAGTCAATGTCTTCCTTTCCACTTTGCAAGCCTAAAATGATGAACAATGTCAATTAAATTGATAATAGTTGGTCAGAATCTAAAAACGTACAATGCAAATCTACACTTTATGAAGCGGACTGGATAAGAACAAGCCTACCTCCTCCTTTCATTCTGCTTTTCCACATTATGCCCAATGCTATACCTACTACAAACAATCCGGAAATTGCAGAAGCCACTGTGACAGTCACCAGTCTTTTCTTATTGAGGGGGCTGTGGATTGAATCTAGAATAGCCAGGAAAAAGTGCGTCAACTAATTTTGGAATATATTTTGTTCATAAGCTGATGAAGGTAAGAAAAAATGCAGTAAAAGATTGCAAAATGAGTAAAAAATAGTCGGGTACCAGATCAGGATTGACCTAGCACTTACTATGTACATGATGCAAAATAAGGGGAAAAAGAAAAAAGCATGATCATGGCAATGTCAAAAGCAGTTGCTAACTGAATCAGCATGTTTATATCTACCTAACTGAGATGCAGGTAGTCTTATGTAGAGATTTTGCTCGTAGTTGACTTGTTGAGATTCTCTTATATCAATAAGATCCCCAAACCACATTAAACAGCCACTACCTCCTCCTCTAACATCTGAATTAGCATAAGCCCTGCAAGAACAGTTCTTTAGGCACTCAACCTTGCACTCCTCAAGGCTCATAGTCTTGTTTAACCGGAAGTCTATCAGGTCGGGCAACTTCAGCTGTGAAAGTTTCAGAAACCCCTCCTGGCGAGAGCAATTCAATTGAACTTTCATTATACACCCACTGGTTGAGTTAAGCATCTGCCACTCTTCTAGGGTCTTGGGCATGAAACCCTGCAAGCACTGGCATCTTGGATCTTTGTCAATTGTGCAGACACCATTAGCACCACACTGCCCATAAATGTCGCATGGTTCACGGGGCATTGAGACCATAACGTCCCATGTAGAGCTCTCTTTCTTCCTTAGAATACATTGCACAAGACCAGACTGGTTCAATCTGACTATGGTGATGACATCATCGCTTATAGATTCAAACTCAAAATACACATCTGTTTCATTGTAAACAAACATGGGCTTAAATAGGGTAATTTCAGACTGCGGAGTACCTGGGAAATGGACTCCATTCTGTGGACCAGCTCGATATTTTTTTGTGAAACCTTTGTAGAGCACTTCCAATTGGGGCAACCCATTAACATTTATTCCATAGGTATAGTCTCCAGAAGAAGGATCATCCATGCTTTTCCAAGAAGTCAGATGCCACTGGAAACCGGTTTTGAGGCTCCATCCCATTCGCATACCAGCTAAAAGGGTGTCAGTTGGATAGTCAAAGCTCTGCCATGAGTATTCACCCGAATGTGAACTGGCATTCTCTGAAACAACAAGGTTACCAGAATCCGACAGCTGTGCAACTGGGTTTCTTAAAGCCCTGGATGAATTCGAAGACCAGATGACACTCTTTGACTGGTTGAGAACAACTAGATTTCTCTCATCGCTAAATGTGAGAACACCATTTAAATCAGCGAGTGGGTTGTTCCCGTTGGCGACCCAAACGACTGTTTCAGGACTAAATTTGTACCATATCCCCAAGTACCTATTCTTGGATTTTTCTGGAGAGAAGAAGCCAAGCTCAAAGCTTTGGCCTGAAGATACCAATGTCTCTCCATCTTTAATAGACTGACCTGAACTTAAGGAATCAGTTGCAATCGACAATTTCAGCACCGACATAAAGATTACAAAAAGAGAGTGAAAAAGAGGGGAAAATGAAAGCTTTCCAATTTCCATAAAGCCATCCGCCATTTTTCCTTTGATCCTCCTCGTCACTGCCAGTTTTAACAATCAAAAGATGCTTACCATGAATATCTAGCTGAATTCTACCTTACAGAATGTTCTGCAAACCAGCAACTCCCAGTGGGATATGTACACTTGGTCGAGAAAGGTTGATCAGAAGACACGCAATGGCTATTCACGCAATGCAAGAAAGTCATATCTCTTTCTTCACAACTGAGACAGGGCGACGACTAACCAATCTTCCCCAAGCAGGACTATTGATGGTGTTGAACTAGCCCATATTTGCAGTTCAACATCTTCTAGAAGGAATATTTAGGCTCTGTTTGGGAGATGAAGGAAAATGGAAGTGATGAAATTTTGGGTAGAAAATGGAGAAGAATTTAAAATTTTTGTGAGAGAGGATGCAGGGAACTTTTGATATTTCATATTCTTTCCACTCACATTTTCTTCACCCCGACACTCCCAACCACAACACTAATGCTTGATGACCAAAATGGTGAACCTGCCAACTCCTATGGACACAAGCGCGAGATGCAAGAAAAGAGGAAGAAGTCTTTAATTTCCCTTGAACAAATTTGGCTAGCATATGTTCTTCAAGGAGCAGAAGTTTGAGCAGGAAGAGCCACTTTTGAAATAGTAGTTTCTAAGCCATAAATAAGATCATTTGGTGAGCCATTGAGAGTGAGCCTTAGATAGCCAAGGTGCTTTGGAATAAGAGAGAAGGAGAAAGAGTTGGCTCGTTGATAAATGAGAGAGAAGGTGAGAATAAAGAGTTGAGAATGCTTGTTTGCATTACGTAGTTTGCTCCAAGTGTTGTGTGTGGTGAAAGTGAACAAACTTTGATAGCTGCGTAAGGTCTTGCACTATCCACAAATTTTGTGTGTAACATGAATTAGTGTGAATTACAAAAACCAATGCTGTTTGACATCAATTATCATTTCTTGTTCCACTTAGCATATGTGCTGTGTACAGTAATGTAACAGTTATCTCTATTGGAAAGATCAAGACGCCAATGTTGACTCTTAGTCAGACATGCTGTAGTGGATTGAAAAACCATCATATTTACGAGTCTATGGATGACTAATAAGTAGAAGATATGACTAATAAATAAAACCATCATATGACTAACCCACTACGATCTGCTGATCTCTACTCTTCAGCGCATTGGTCTTTCGAAGATAGGGATGGTTCACCCACATTTCAATGGCGTTAACAGCTACTCTGCAAAGGTGGCACTGTACAACTGAGGATGCCGAGGTGCGAATGCATATGCTTATTGTCTTACTGTCATAGAAGTCAGAGAGATACAGGTATCATAGATATTAGATGAAGGTGCCAGCTTCATTAGACCTGCAGTTATTACTAGAAAGTCCCCACTAATGTTTGAATCACAAAACAACCAAGTTGCCTATGCATGGGTGGGCATCGAAACTTCCAATTTAATATGAATGCCATCAGATTGCCTCCTGTCTTCAAATAATGTCACAGAAGAAAGGGTCCGGAAGGTATTTTGTTCATTATTCCTCAGGTGACATGACAACATCAAAATTTCGTGTCTACTGCGAAACTGGAACACAAAAGGCTCATGCTACCCCTTAAAATACTAGTAAATATTCCCCACATTGCTAAATGCAAGAACTCCATCTGAATCGCTGAGTGGATTGTCTCTGTTGGCAAGCCAACCAACTGTTTGAGGACCAAATTTGGGCAAAATGACACCAAAAGTGCCACAACTTGTGTACGGAGATCACTTTGGTGCCATAACTTTTTTTCGGATCACTTTGATGCTAACTTTGTTGAAAAAAGATCATTTTAGTGTCATTACTGACGTGGCACGCCGGAAATCCGATGTGGCGCTGACACGGCTCGCCGGAGAGGTCCATGGCTCGCCGGAAAGGTCCAGTCAGCATTAAAAACAAAAAACGACGCCGTTTAATCCCCTAACGTGTACTTTTTTAGAAAAATAAAATTTAAATTATATTTAAAAAACAAAAACATTGCAGCAGCGGCGAGGGCTCCCTCGCCACTGCTGCCGCCAACCCACCACCGCTGGGAAGGGCCGGCGGTGGTGGGCGGAGTGGTCGGCGAGTTTTCTAAAAAATTAAAAATTAAAAAAAAAAGCCACCTAATTTCCACGTGTACAAGTCAGACCATTTTTTTAAAATATAAATGCCCGGTCAGCTTTTTGGCCGAAATTTTAGCCGGAGTCACTAAAGTGATCTTTTTTCCTCCGACTTGGCACCAAAGTAATCCGAAAAAAAGTTATGACATCAAAATGATCTCCGTACACAAGTTGTGGCACTTCTGGTGTCCTTTTGCCACCAAATTTGTACAATATCCCCAAGTGCCTGTCCTCGGAGTTGCCAGGAGAGAAGAAGCCAAGCTCGAAGCCTTGGCCTGAAGAGACCAATATCTCTCCATCTTCCATACACTGGCCTGAACTCAATGTACGACAACCCCAACAATGACACAAAGATGGCAGCAACAATAACAGAGTCAAAATGGAAACTTTTCCATAGCCATTAAGCCTTCCATCAATTTTTCCCGTGATCGCCCCCATAAATGCCTCTTTTCAGCTCAGTTAGCTACTTTAAGCATGGCGTCCTTACTACTCATCCGAAACATACAAGAGCGAGATTCTGGAGCCTTCAGGCTGCGGTCGAGGGGATGAACGGCCAATTCACGGTGGAGTCAAATCAAAGGTCATCGAAGATGACGACCTCGGAAGTGAAAGAAGCAATTTCTCTCTTAAAAATGACATCTTGTTTTTTCAAGGATGGAACGTATACAGAGAAAAATGGGCTGCGGAAGTTCCGTCTCCGATGAAGTTTCGAAGTTCATTTTCCAGGAGACATGGTCTCTCTGTCTCTGTCGTGCAAGAAAGTCAAATCCCCGTACTCGCCTCTCCGCTTTTTTCTCGACAAAGCTTGTGTTATTGCGCGACATGTTGTAAATTCACAGCAACAATATCCCGTTCAAAACTTTCTCGGGACATAAAATGGACAATGATACAAATAGTCCATGAACTTTAGCTCAATATGTAATGTGATTCTTGAACTTTTAATTTATTCAATGTGATACCTAAACTTTTGGTACATATTAAATTTAGTCCATGAACTATATGAAAATATTCAATATAGTCCAAGTTCAAAAATTACATTGAATAAATTAAAAATTTAGGAATCACATTACACATTGAGTCAAAATTCATGGACTGTTTATATTATTTTCCGAAATAAAAGTGATGATCCAGAAACGAGTATGACGACATCATAAAGTGGTTGGTGATCGTGTTATGTCCTATTGGAATGAAAAGCAAAAAAGCACATTTCATGATCTGATTGCCATGTCATTGATTATTTTAGGGTCAATATCATAAAAAACTACAAATTGATATAAATGTACCACATCTTCATAAAAAAAATCTCAAACTGGTATAATATGCCGCATTTATCCCAAATTAATTTTCGCGTCATAAAAAAAAATACCAAACTAGAGTAAATGTGGCACGGATAAACTGGTTTGAAATTTTCTGTGACACGAAAATTAATTTGGGGATAGATGTTGCACGAGCATACCATGTGGCAGGAGTGTATGTGTTTGAGATTTTTTATGACATAGAAATTAATTTTGGGGAAATACGACACGAGTGTATCCATTTAGGGCTTTTGATGGTATTAGCCCTAATGTTTATCACATTTATCTATAAAACTGATATGATACCCGTGCGATATATGCATTGATTGAATAGTTAAAAATAATAGAACCATCTCATCGACATCCGCAAAATATAAAAGAGAAATAGTTAAAATTTTCTCAAAAATGCAAACAACATAGCTTCACACAGATGGTTATTTTGAAGTCACCTCTTTGTGCAGGGGGGATAACATCAACAGGGCAATGCATTCAAACCTAATGGGCGAATGGGAAAATATACTGGCCTCTTGCGCAACCTGCAATCGATCGGATGGCAGTTGACAATGATCAGTTAACGGTCGAACATTCGACCAGCCTCTTTGTTAATATTGCTCGACATTAAGCAGTCAACGGTCGATATTTATACCGCACTAGGGCTGTCAACTTCTCTTCTCTACTTCTACTCCTGTCCTGATGTCATCTATTTAACACTTCCCTTCTAGCAAGGAATAAAGCACGTATCTAGGACAGCGTTGTGTACAAGTTGGGTTCAGTTTTGCCTTATTGGATTTTGCTCTCTGAACTGCTCAAGTTGTTAAGAAACAGTAGGTCAAGAAGAAAGTTTGGAAACAGTAAAGTTTCAAGGAGATCGTATTGTGCTCTGTACTCTTTGTTCGTATTGAGAATGTATATTATGCAGTGGCGACACCATATGTCATCGTGACGGAATATGATTGAGTCGAGCATGCATCTCTAAATTTACAGTTGAAAGACATATGATTTACGATGTCAACGAAGTAAACGAACATGATTGCTTAGATGATGCAAGTAACTCCACCATATGTGTGAGAACAACATATCAATATCCACGAGCATGTCCATCTACACTGCCTACAAACAAGAGAAATGACAGTTTGTTCATCCTAAAACCTATCTGGTGCGGGTTGCCCTTGTGTGTCAAAATTTCACTTTTTTTTTTGCTGCCCGCGCTTTATGTTCGATGAATTTAGAACCCGAGAAACAACAGTTGATGTTTAAGCCGTTGGATCTTCCACCGACAAAAATTGGTTTGTGATAGTGATGGAGACCATCCTCTGTGACTTTCGTCAATCTAAATTCTGCAAAAACCATCCACCGCAGCATGTCTATCAGCCCTCCGGCATTGTAATCGTCGCAAGATTACGTGTCTCCGGTCTTTCCCTCACCGGAAATGCACCTGAGTTTCCTGTACTTTTCTCTCCATGAAGAAACCGGGCTCTTTAGACCTTGGCAAGATTGCTCCTTCATTTGCTAACATGGAAACAAGACCAGGCATTGTCGGCCTATATTAAGGAATCTCTTTTGGACACACGACAACCCCACCTGAGTGCATCTCTCTGCTCATGATTTCATGGAATCATCGCATAAAGATTCGTCAATGAGCTCCAATGCACTGCCTTCACTCCATAGCAACCATGCCTAAAAGCAATAAATACTCATCGTTGATGCATCTGCACGTCAAGTAAACCAGAAAAGTCAATTGTTTCACTTTTGTTCTCTTCCAATATTAACCCTAGAGCACAATTCAAATATTACAAAATTTGAGTACTAAAAGACCAGGAACAAAGCAACATTTTGCCAGATATAGATGGGAAAAGTGCCAAAAAAGTCCTAAATATTTTGCATTAGTGCCAATTTAGTCCTAAACCTTTTTTTTGTGCCAATTCAGTCCTAAACCTTTTGCATTGGTGCCAATTTAGTCCTAAACCTTTTTTTGGTACCAATTAAGTCCTAAACTTTTTAAATTGGTGTCAATTCAGTCCTAAACCTTTTGTTTTTGTGCCAATTTAGTCTTTCCGGTTAATTTTGATCGGAATTTGCCGATGTGGACGCCTGCCGGCCGGCGGCTGGTCACCGGCGTCGACGTGGCGCCGACATGGACAACTTTAATAATATTTTAATATTTTTTTGAATTTTTAATTTTTTTTCCTTTTTTTTCTTTTTTTTCCTACTTTTTTTTTGTCTCTCCCTCCTTCCTCTGGCCAGTCGCCGGTCTGGCGACCAGCCAGAGGCCAGAGGCCGGCGAGCTCGACCTGGCCGGCCATTGGCGAGGGCGAGCCTCGCCTTGGTCGGGCGAGGCTCGAGCCCTCGCCGGAGGCCGCGGCGAGGGCTCGAGCCTTGCCTTGGTCGGGCTAGGCCCGACCTCGCGGATCTGCGAGGTCGGGCCTAGCCCGACCACGGCGAGGCTCGCCCTCGCCGTGGCCTCCGACGAGGGCTCGAGCCTTGCCTTGGTCGGGCGAGGCTTGACCTCGCCCGACCATGGCGAGGCTCGCCCTCACGCGGCCTCCGGCGAGGGCGAGCCTCGCCCGACCAAGGCGAGGCTCACCCTCACGGTGGCCGGCGAGGCCGAGCTCGCCGGCCTCTGGCCTCTGACCGATCGCCAGACCGGCGACCGGCCAGAGGAAGGAGGGAGAGAACCAAAAAAAAAAAAGTGGAAAAAAAAGGAAAAAAAAAAATTCAAAAAAATATTAAAATATTATTAAAGTTGTCCACGTTGGCGCCGGTGACCAGCCGCCGGCCGGTAGGGGTCCACATCGACAAATTCCGGTCAAAATTGACCGGAAGGACTAAATTGGCACAAAAATAAAAAGGTTTAGGACTGAATTGGCACCAATTTAAAAGGTTTAGGACTTAATTGGCACCAAAAAAAGGTTTAGGACTAAATTGGCACCAATGCAAAAGGTTTAGGACTAAATTGACACCAAAAAAAGGTTTAGGACTAAATTGGCACTAATACAAAAGGTTTAGGACTTTTTTGGCACTTTTCCCGAACTTTGTAGATACAAAAATTTGGAACTTCTAGTACATCTTTTCTCGAATCGATTTACTTTTTGCCTTACTAGGGAATCACTCGGCGTGCAAAAGCTGTTAATCGAGCCATGGATAAGCTGTTAGAGGACATCATCAGAGAACACGAGGAAGATGCAACCGGAAAATATAAGGGTGACTTTATAGACACATTGCTCGCCGGCATGGGCCATCCCATAAATAGCTCGCAAGACGAGCAGGTTCACATAATGGGTCGGACCAACATCAAGGCCATAGCCCTTGACATGATCGCCGCATCGTACGAGTCCTCGTCCACTGCGATTGAGTGGGCCTTCTCCGAGCTAATCCGCAACCCGCGCGTGATGAAACACCTAAAAAAAGAGCTTGAAGCTGTTGTTGGGTTGGGCCGGACCATTGAGGAGTCGGATTTGCCAAAGCTGAATTATTTGGACATGGTGGTGAAAGAGAGCTTCAGGCTATATTCGCCGAGGCTATATTCGCCGGGCCCACTCCTGATCCCGCACGAGTCCATGGGGGACGTCAAGATCGGTGGGTATTACATCGCAAATAGGACTAGGGTCATCGTGAACACGTGGGCCCTTGGGAGAGACACCAATGCTTGGGCTGAGAATGCAGAGGAGTTCTTCCCGGAGAGGTTCGCGAGCAGCGGCGTGGACATCAAAGGGCGAGACTTCCAGCTCATACCGTTCGGGTCAGGTCGGAGAGGCTGCCCAGGGATGAACTTGGGCCTTGTTAATACTCGTCTTGTTTTGGCCCAATTAGTGCATTGTTTCGACTGGGAGTTACCGGAGGGGACGTCGCCGAACGAGCTGGACATGAGCGAGGACTTCGGGTTGTCGATGCCGAGAGAAAAGCACTTGATCCTGAGGCCAAGTTATCGCCTGCTTGTTTGAAGTTTCGCAAGATTTGTTACATGTTACCGGGCATTGATGTTTGAGATTTATTTTGACAATTGTTGTTGTGCTAATCTGAACAACATAGTACTATAGACCCATCAAACGTTCTAGGCTGCATCTGTCTCTCTTCAGAGAGTCAACTTAGGTGCATCATAACATTACCCCTTTCTATATATAAACGGGATTTACAATTGAGTTCTTTCCCTCTACTGTCTATGCAACTTAATTCAATTTTTATATGGTACTTTTTTTTTAATGTATGTACCAGTGCTGGAAATAAGCTGTCTAATGATGATGAATTTGACCGATCAAAACCATGGAATGATAAAGATAAAGCAACACCATGAACAAGGTGTTAGAGGTTGGTAAAAAGAACACGAGGAAGACACCACTGGAAATACAAGGGCGATTTTATAAACACATTTCTCTTCATCGTGGGCCATACCATGAATAGCTTGTAAGTTGAGCCGGTTCACATAATGGGTCGCATCAACATCAAGGCCATAGCCCTCGACACGATCACCACGTCATACAAGTCATTGTCCATCATGATTGAGCAGGCCTTGTCTGAGTTGATCTGCAACCCGCGCGCGATGAAGCACCTTCAGCAAGAGCAGAAAGCCATGGTCGGGTTGGGTTGGACGGTCGAGGAGCCGGATTTGCCGAAGCTGAATTATTTGGACATGGTGGTGAAAGAGAGCTTCAGGCTGTAGCCACCAGGCTCGCTCCTGGTCCCCCTCGAGTCCACGGAGGACGTCGAGGTCGCCGGGTATTACATCGCGAAGAGGACTCGGGTCATCGTGAACCCGTGCACCCTTGGGAGAGACACCAAGGCTTGGGCCGAGAATGTCGAGGAGTTGCTCCTGGAGAGGTTCGCGAACAGCAGCGTGAATATCGAAGGGCGAGACTCCAAAAACCTATTCGGACTTGGGTCATGTGTTCGGATCCGAGGGATTCAATTTTAACCAATTAAATTCAACTGGCTGTATGGCTCTTGTTTTAATTATGCGGATCATCCTCGAGTTCCTTTTCTATCGAAATCAGATGGGAATAGTAAGATATGGATTGTTTGAAAATTTAAACATATCAAAGCCTTTAAAAACATACCCGTTTCAACCCGCCCCGCCCCCGCCCCCAAAAAAAAAAAAGTAATTAGCTGAAAATATATAAATAAAAAGAAACAAAGAGAGCGTAATGAGAACCGCTGCAGGCCATGTCCCTCCGCTAGGGGTGTCAATGGGTTGGGTCTTCATGATACCCGACCCAACCCGACACTTGTTCAACATATACCCATAGAGTCGGGTCGGTCCGGAATTTTTTTTTTCAAATAGATTGGAAATGTGTGTGAACCCCGAATAGCGCATTTCCCCATTTTTATTCTTATTACAGATGGATTGGAAATGAATGCTTAAATTCATTTCCTCGCATGATTAATTGAAAACACCAGCTAATCAACGGTTTGCTCTTGTTTTAGCTTAGTTTAGTGGTCAAATACAGAAGAAAGGTCAACCATCAAGACTTGTAGGACGCGGTCGTCGTGGCAGCACCGGGGTCGGATCGATCGACTCGCCGCCTCCGGTAAGCTGTGCTGACCAGAGATTTGCTAGAACGAGTTTTTGCCCCCAAATGTTCTCTCTTTCAAATGTGCAAGTGACGGGTGTTCTGTTTTGGGAGCTCAACTTCTTATTCACAATGATAATTACGTTTTAGATATCGCCCATGAAGGAAAAAATGAGTCTTTTCAAGATGGGTTATTATTCTTATCAAATCTTTTTTATTTTTGGTGACATTTAACGGTTTGCCCTCGTTGGTCGTTTGTATCATGGGATAATCGAGCAAAATAAAAGCTAGACAATAATGGGTCTTTTTGGTTGTCAATCTATATGACCTTTATGGTCTATATTATTTGAGATGCCGCTCGACCACGCATTTATCATCATGATCCGTGACCCGTGACATGAATATATTAGCATTCTCGAATATATATATTGTAATCCGTTGTAAGGAAAATTCTCTTCAATTTCAAGATTGTTGTGATGTAACTTAAGATAGCATCGCGTATTTATATTACAATGGAGTACGAAAGTCCCAATTCCAATTTTGGAAATTAAAACAAAGCCCCGAAACTAAAATAAAAGGCACACGACATACTCCCAATCGCTTGGCTGGCTCGGCTAGGTTTGCTAAGGCTTTCGAAAGGGAGGGCAAGATTAGAATTTGGAAAGAAGATAGATGAACTGTTGGCGAAGGTTGGCTTGAGAGAGACATCAACGATTCATGCTGCCGGGAACTAACGGAGGGACCATGACTCCAACCTGTCGAGTCCTTCGTTCGGCGTTAGCGACCCATCCTGCGCATCATGTCGCATATGAAAATATGTAACCGGTCACATTCATATCATATACATACATGAGTATGTTCGAGTAATGCAAGGTGTATTAGGATTGGTCTACAAAATTTATGAAATAAAAAAGGCAATAGATTTTAGTGTCTCGCATTTAACACTCAGCAATAATATGGTATTCTATGTAATTTGGGCTTCCAAAATGCATGTTAGAATCTCGAAGCATTTGTGCTTACTTGGTCTCCAATCGCAATTGAGTAGAATCTATTGGTACCAAAAGTCAAAATGGACCCGCTCGAATCTCCCTAAAAGATAGGGGTTTATTTGTTAACTGGCAATCTTAAATAACCTTGTCATAAGAGAGTTTGTACATGGGACATTTTATTTCATTTTTTCAAGAAATTTCTAGCTGACCTTCCTCTGACGGATCTTTTTAACATCAAATGGATTGATACTAGATAAATTCATGATTCATCGGACTAGGTCTATTTACTTTTTCTTTTGTTTGTTGACTTCTAAGTTTTTAAATAGATTTGATAGGAATATGGAATATTTGGCAATTCAAGAGACAATATTATCATTGTTCATAAACAAGTGTTCCGCCTTATTTTATAATTATAATTACTAAGACTCATTATTCTGATAACTTATCAATAATGATAGCTTATCATGATAAAAACTATAGAGTTTGTTCCTTATTTTTTTATAAATTAAAAAATAGCAATATCACTATTTTCCATTCAAGTATGAACAATAGCGACGGAGTATAATGAGTTTAACCTACTACGGGAATCGAACCATTCACTCCTCGCCAATACTCTAACTACTGAGTAGTAGATTATCTGTCATCACAACGAAAAAAACAAAAGAACTCATCCCATCCGCATCCCATCATGACTGATAAATCCCATCATACTCTAAATACTAAGTAGATTACCTATCATCACAAAGAGAAAGACAAAGAACTTACCCATCCGCATCCCATCATAACTTAAAAATCCAATCTTACTTCTAAGCAATACCAATCAGATGAGTTCAATCTAGTGTCAATGTTCTTTTTTGTTCTTTCTGAGTGCTGATAGGAAGTTAGGAACGATGAATTACTAGGACAAAGAACATATCGGATAATGAGCTTACCGATCGAGGGATTGAACCCGCGGTTCTGGAGCTCCCGATACTCTTGAGAAAGAGCGCATGGCCCGCACCAATGGTGTAAGCAACAATCTCCGCACTGGCTGCCGGGGATCGAGTAGAGTTTGCGGAGCTTGGTCCGGTAAGTGCATGTGTAGCAGTATGAACAACAAAAGAAGTGGAACATCAGGCAGCACAGAGCCCCGGCAAACGCACAAGCTGCCAGTTCATTAGCAAAAGTCAAATTGCTAGCAAGAGAAAATCGAACCTTAATCATAGTTTTTCACGAGGTTTTGTTGAGGTTTTTCACTTACAGGTGCTTCCTTTGTCTATAATCTCCGCATTCTGGCCGAATGTGACGCACGGGCAAAAACAGGTGATCAAGCCTTCGTTGGAAACAAAAAAGGAAGATGATCAATACGTTAGAGATATGAAAAATTTATATTATGTATATCTCCAACAAAGAAAATCATTGACGTGATATAACTCATCAGTCATCACACGATTGACAAAAGAAAGATCGAGTCCTATGGAATTTGTCTTTGGAGAAAAAGACTTACAATTCGATGGATTGTCGAAACAACCACAAAGACTGGTGGTCCACTCTCCCTTGTTGGAATCGGGAACGCTGTGAACGAGTGTTCCTACGTATGCCGGGGGAGCGCTTGCTTCCGGAGGGAACGCCACGGAAGGTGGCGCGGCGACCGGAGGTGGAGGCACTTTTGAGTCTCCTCCGGAGTTTCGCGGAGCCATTTTGGAGCTAAAAATCGCCTCGGCGAAAGAATGAGAGAAGGCAAAAACTATGGAGCTACGTCAAGTATTGCCACAAACACCCGGATGCTGCAATATATACAAATATTCACACAACCTTTCTTTTTTCTTTACTTAATCTTTCTCCCCTTTGTACATGAATCAAGTGGGAATTTTAAAACTTGAGAATGCTCAACAATACATGTTGACCATGAATAGAATATTTACTAATCAACTTCTTCGTGACTAATGAAGGTCTGATTACTCGGTGAAGTATTACTTGCAAGATTCTTTTTTTTATTATCATTTTTTATCATTTTGACTATGTCAATGTGGAAATTTTCCATCGAACTGAGTTTAAATATAGCTCAATCAATTTGAAAAAGAAATATAATAATCGAGGTCTTGTCTTCCACTGGATGAATGTTACAATGGTGTACGTCAACTCTCTCTCTCTCTCTCTCTCTATCGCACATATTCAAAACAAAGAAATAAAAGCAATACAAGCTTGCGTAGCAGCTTGGTTTCTTCTACAGCTAAAGTTAGTATGATGAATGATTATGATATTACATATCATTGCCGTTTTTAAAAAAAAGAAAAGAAGGTCAGATTACATTTGAATGGCCATTTGCTCATTTTATTTCGTCAAATAATCATCAACTACACATTTCTGTGTTGTTTATGTTTCCACCCATAGTACCAAAGATGGTTTTCCTTCTTGTCACCAATTAATAATACAAGAGTCAATGTCAAAGACGTGATCAATTCTCACGGTCATGATTTTCGCAAGGCCCCTTCGATTTCAATTGATGTTGTATTGTTTTCTCGTACGATTCATGTGCTGTAATTGATTATGTCAATCATGTCAATCACATGCCAATTTTTTTACATCGGAAGGTGAAGTGGGCTTCGGGGAGAAAATGCCTCTTGAATGAATTGGATATGCATCTTCATATATCGACACTCGATGTATACATAAACAACTCCATAAAGTACCTTCGCCGTTTGGCTAAGTCGACAAGAAAGAGGCACGTACATGGACAATCTCATATCCAAAGTGAGCAAACCGAGAGGATCCTGTCTTTGATGATTCAACTTTGGGAAAAATGCCAAAAAGGTCCTGAACCTTTTGCATTAGTGTCAATTTAGTCCTAAACCTTTTTTTGATGTCAATTCAGTCCTAAACCGTTTGCATTGGTGTCAATTTAGTCATAAACCTTTTTTTGTTGCCAATTAAGTCCTAAACCTTTTAAATTGGTGCCAATTCAGTCCTAAACCTTTTGTTTTTGTGCCAATTTAGTCATTCCGGTCAATTTTGACCGGAATTTGCCGACGTGGACGCCTGCCGGCCGGCGGCCGGTTACCGGCGCCGACGTGGACAACTTTAATAATATTTTAATATTTTTTGAATTTTTCTTTTTTTTTTCCACTTTTTTTTTGGTCTCGCCTCCTTCCTCTGGTCGGTCGCCGGACCCAGAGGCCAGAGGCCGGCGAGCTCGACCTCGCCGGCCACTAGCGAGGGCTCAAGCCTCGCCTTGGTCGGGCGAGGCTCGACCTCGCCAGATCCGACGAGGTCAGGCCTTGCCGCGGCCTCCGGCGAGGGCTCGAGCCTCGCCATGGTCGGGCGAGGCCCGACCTCGCCAGATCCGGCGAGGTCGGGCCTCGCCCGACCAAGGCGAGGCTCGAGCCCTCACCGGAGGCCGCGGCGAGGGCGAGCCTCACCATGGTCGGGCGAGGCCCGACCTCGCCGGATCTGGCGAGCTCGCTGGGTGAGGCTTGACCTCGCCAAATCCAGTGAGGTCGGGCCTCGCCCGACCATAGCGAGGCTCGCCCTCGCCGCGGCCTCCGGCGAGGTTGCTGGGCAAGGCTCGACCTCGCCAGATCCGGCGAGGTCGGGCCTCGCCCTACCATGGCGAGGCTTGCCCTCACCGCGGCCTCCGGTGAGGTCGCTGGGCGAGGCCACCGCCCTCGCCAGTGGCCGGCGAGGTCAAGCTCGCCGGCCTCTGGCCGGTTGTCGGACCGGCGACCGGCCAGAGGAAGGAGGGGGGACAAAAAAAAAAGTGGAAAAAAAAAGGAAAAAAAAATTTTCAAAAAATATATTAAAATATTATTTTAGTTGTCCACGTCAGCGCCACGTCGGCGCCGATGACCGGCCGCCGGCCGGAGGCGTCCACGTTGGCAAATTCCGGTCAAAATTGACCGGAATGACTAAATTGGCACAAAAACAAAAGGTTTAGGACTGAATTGGCATCAATTTAAAAGGTTTATGACTTAATTGGCACCAAAAAAAGGTTTAGGACTAAATTGGCACCAATACAAAAGGTTTAGGACTGAATTGGTACCAAAAAAAGGTTTAGGACTAAATGGGCATTAATGCAAAAGGTTTAGGACTTTTTTGGCACTTTTCCCAGATATAGATCATAAGCAAGGATGTGCAACAAAGACTGCATTTTTTTTTTGAACGGGGTTAGATTGCTCTCAGCTTTTATGTGTTCTTTATTTTGTTCTCTTGCTGTATTCAGTTTCACCAGAGCACGCAGAACATTTCTTTGCATTACTGAATTGAAGGTTCGTGTGTTTTAAATATTTATTATAACTATGTATGTTATTTTCAATCGTGTTCGTTGTTCACTCTAGATGATTTTGGTTTGTCGATCCCATCTTCATTCAAATGCTTTTAAAAATTGCAAATTGCTATTACATGATTTTCAATTCAAAATTCCAATCACAGTTACCTGCTTCTCACGCAATCTCAATTGTACCTACTTTATACGCAAGCGCTTGCGGAGGATTTTTTTCTTTTTGACCATAAAGCCAAAACTGTCTACACTAACCTTCCCTTCTAGAAGGAATCAAGTAGATTAATTAGGCTCCCTCTTACTTTTAAACCAAGTCCTAATATTTCATGTTTGCCCATGGATAAAAAGATGTCATACTAGTCGATGAATCAATTTTCAATGAATCGGTTTCATGGCTCAGAATACCAATAAATGGGCTCCAATCGGTCCACTGAACTGGATGTAGTAGAGTCCTCAAAAATCGATACCCTTTAACCCCAATGCTTGGTTTGAATGGCATAGATCCCGTGTTCAAATCGCAGCATTGCTTATTCAAAATAAATTTGGAGGCCAAGTCAAGCTGAAAAGTTTGGCTACCCATGTTTTTATTTTCTTGGGGGTGGTGGGGAAGGCTAGTTCACTAAATCCACCATATGTGAGCTAACAACAGATTTAGATTCACAAATGTCCCATGTACAAATCTACAATCACAGAAAAGTGAAAGCTGTATGTATATTCATCCTAAAACCAGCCTGCTGCAGGTTGCCCTTATATGTCACATTTTCACACTTTTCGGAATATACATGCTTTCAGAAACTTGGGCAATTACTGTTTTCCTGATCTTTTCTCCTGAATTAGAGGACCTGAAAAGCGACAGTTGATGTTTAAATCGTCGGGTCTTTCATCAACAAAAGTGCTTTCTGATAGTTAAACAGGTCATCCTCTATATTCTTAGTCCTTCGTACCCCGAGAAAGCCGATCTAAATTCTGCAAATTCAGAGACATCCTCGTTGGCATCATGTCTATCGACCTTCTGGCAATGTGATCGTAACAAGATTACGGGTGTCAGATTTTTCCCTTACTAATGATGCATCTGAGTTTCCTGAACTTCTCTCCGCAAAGAAACAGGGCTCTTTTGGCCTCGGCAAGGTTGCCCCTTCATTTGCTAACATAAAAACAACAGTGGACAATGTTGGCCTGTCTCTAGGGAACTTTTGGACACATAACAAGCCCACCTGAATGCATCTCTCTGCATGAGATTCGATGAAAGAGTTCCATAAAGAATCGTCAATTAGCTCCAAGGCCCATCCTTCACTCCATAGCAACCATGCCTAAAAGCAATAATTTGCTCATGATTTTCTGTTCTGTACGTCAATTAAACATTTGAAACAAAGCATGTCTACCAGAACATAAAGAAAATGAGATTTTCGATAAAACACAATAGCAGATCTTGTTTAGCAAATAAAAAAAGAACAAGAAAAGAGCACTAATCATACTGTTGTGATGATGGTCAAGATGCCAGAATCCTCTATTCCTTTTTCCGCTTACTATCTCTAACAAGAGCACACCAAAGCCAAAAACATCGGATTTCACGGAGAATTTTCCGTCAAAAGCGTACTCTGGGGACATGTAGCCACTACATGAGGAAAATCATGCTTCAGTTCCTCCAACTACTAATTGATGAATCACTGCATGCATGAATTGATATCAGAAACTTACTATGTACCAACTATTCTTCTCGTCCTTGCCTCAGTGTCATCTCCTTGAAAGATCCTCACCAGGCCGAAATCTGAAATTTTTGGATTCATGTCTGCATCTAACAAGATATTGCTTGTTTTAAGGTCTCTGTGGATAACTTGTAGTTTTGAATCCTGGTGGAGATAGAGGAGTCCTCAGGCGATTCCTAAAACAATGCTTCTCTCATGATCTGCACACACTCAAGTCCATGGAAAAGTAGTTAATTGCATTTAAGCTGGAGTTTCTGGTAGAGGAATCGATGAACAAAACAGAAGTACAAGGAGTTGAGTGAAAAGGTACTGAGAAACATCAAGTGGTTCTGACCAAAAATGAAATAATCCAAGCTCTTAAATTAGCATCCTTTCTTCTCCCTCGATGCAGCATCCGAGAAGTCCGACAAGATTCCGATGCTGAAGTCTAGCAATTAGAAGGACTTCATTCATAAACTCATCAGGACCTTGTCCTGAATACTTCGACAACCTTTTAACTGCGACTTCTTGTCCTGTAGAAAGATTTCCCTACATGTATTTTATTAACTGTTAGTCTATATAGATGTTTAAGTTTACTGATTATAGCTCATCACCTTGTAGACTGAACCAAAACTGCCAGCTCCTAACTTGTTTGTTTGAGAGAAATGGTCAGTAGCAACAGCAATGGTAGTGAAATCAAACAATGGCAAGTCAATCTCATCCTTCCCACTCCACAAGC